AGAGATAACCAATGTTTCAGTTCTAACAGGAGAAAGAATTTAAATTTGAACCTGGAGTACTGTGTTTTGGTTGAAATCTTGGCAAATAGTTGGCAAAGTAAAACATTAAAAAAAAAAGAAGTACATCTGTAGTATATGAGTCTTATTCACAAACAGCGCAAGGCAGAACACACATTCCACTACAAAGAAATGGCATACCATCTGCCAGTAGAACATGGCACATAGAAGTGAATGAAACAGGAAACAGGGGCTGCCACATTTTGCAGCGGGGCATAAGAATGGTAATACATGGTAGTACTCAAATCTATTAACTTGAAATATTATTGCCAAGATTCAGTGGCATGGAGTAAGTGGTTGGAGGACTGCAGTCTTAAAGACAAGTGCTGGTGACACAGAAAGCCGTTCCAGGAATTCATTATTTCTGAAACAGAACAGGAGGCAAGTTCCTCAGTGTCTGTACCAATGCCAAACCACAGAAGGCAGAGAGGGTTTAAGCATTCAGCAAAACAAAGCTGAAGATGTCAATTAATTGCACAGCCTATTTCTATGCATAAAATCAAAAAACAAAAGATAAATCAGCTACATGAAAATGAATCTGAAAGTTTCAGTGATGGGTTTGAAACGAACCGCAACAGAATGATTACTTTTTTAATCATATTATTTCAAGAAATCAGAAATAGGAAAAAGCAACTCATTTTAATTTGGCCATGGTCACCCAACTCAACACATTAAGACTGCTGTCCTATACACCATGAGTTGGAAAGGCTGGTCTCAGGAAGGCTTCCATGCACAGCTGCCTGGCTGCTGTATATAATAATTGCTTTTTTGGATCATTTAGGGCCAATTCAAGCACAACCTTTTGCCTCCAGTTTACAGCCTTTACACTAAGGCTGCTCATCTCAACTGCACAGCAGCAGTTTTTTAAAAGCATTCCTCCTGAGGGAAATATGTGTAAATAATTGCACTGGAGTTTAAACTTATACAGTGGTACCTCAGTTTAAGAACAGTCTGGTTTAAAAACAATTTGGTTTACAAACTCCACAAAACCGGAAAAAGTGTCCCGGTTTGAGAACTTTACCTCAGTTTAAGAACGGTACACTGTAATCCAAGTCTGGGTTTACCGGCAATATTCAAAGAAGACCAGTTCAATTTACAATACAAGGAACTTACTACTTTTCTTTCAGTGGCAGAATGACTCCCAACATGGCACACAGAATTGGAAAGGACTTGAACATCTACAAATCACATGATGGAGACAGACTGTATGGACAATTGCTATATCAGAAAAACTGACAAAAAGTGTGCACACCTTGGAACAGCACACATGATGTGGATGACTTTGTTGAAACATTCATTCCAGCAACTGGCTTCCACAGAGTTCACAAACACGGTTATGGCAGGACATGATAAATTTATCATCTGTCCCAGAAAGGAGTGGGGAAGTGCAAAGAAGAACTTTGTGTTGTGATTATAATTTGTTGAAAACCAATAAAAATCTTTATTAAAAAAATATATATACTGAATGCATCGTTCTTGTTTCTCCTTCCAACAGTGCTGTAAAATGCATCCAAAATTCTTAAAGTTAATACACTGTGGCTATTTTAACAATCCTACTGCAGAGTGTTTAGCTTTAGCTACCAAATTTTTAGATGAAATTGCCTCTTACTCTGAACCCCAGTTCCCAAAAAGTAAACTGCAATCAGATACAATTCTTGTGATACTATTACAGATATTGGGGTGGGACGAGAGAGATGTGCATTTAAGCATTTATCTGTCCTAGAGATGCCATCTAACTATTGCAATGTGGTTGTAATTCCTATATTGGAGTTTCCATCTTCTTCTAAATAAAAATTTGTCATTATTTCTGCTGTCCCATCAATACCTTCAAATGTAAACTATCCTGATGACTGAATCATGGATTTACATCTTACTTGTTATGGACAAACTTAGCCTGAGCAAACAAAAGCTGTCTGATATGTTTCTACACACACACACACACACACACACACACACACACCCCATAACAACTTATTGGACCCTATACAGCCAAAGTTAAAAGCATTTAAGAGAGATCTACAGGCAAAAGCATTACTTATGCTGTTGAAATAGGTGAGCATCTGAATACCATGTTCCATCTGCATGGTGATGTTTATCCAAGCGCTGCTGACCAGGCTACATGCATCTTTGGAAGCAAGTGGGGAAATGCATCCATACCTACGGCCACCAACTGACTAGCTGCTGCAATCCATTGATTAGGGTCTCTGGTTTCAATGGGAAGATTCCAATATATGTTTATGCTTAACTCAGATTCATAAGCACTCGTGACTTTATTAACCTGGAAATCCTTTCTGGCCCCTTACAGACATTCCTGAAAGCAATGCCTCTTTCTCCAGGCCAGGAAGAGCCCACCCACAAGGCAAAGCGAGGTAACTGCCTCAGGTGGCAGGATCCACCGGGGCAACAGATCAGGCCTCCAAGAAATGAATCACCCACAGCTACCGCCTCCACAATGGGGCAAGGACTACAGCACAATCCTTGGAGGCCAGATCTGCTTCCCCTAGGCAGCTCCACAATGCTGCCTCTACAGTGGCCTCTTGGCTAATAGGAGATGCTGCTTGTCTCCAGGGGGAGACCATCAGCAGTACCTTCTATTCGCCAAGAGGCTGCTGTGCAATGAAACCTCTAGAGACCTAGAGCAGGCGAATAGCAGGTACTGCTGGTCTTTTCCCAACACTAGAGGATGCCCTCTGGAGTCTCTTGGGCTCTGCACCCACCTGGCATGATTCAGGACAGACCCCTTTCCCCACAGTGATGGACTTTGATCCCCACTTCAACTGTCAGGTAAGGTTGCTTTGATTCCCACCCCATTCTCATCCCTTCTTCCCAGTTCACCTCCAGTGCCGAAATGTTTTGGGCCAGCCATCCTCCAGGCCTTTGCAAATCAGCATTAGGCTGTTCTGACATTTAGAAGAACAATTTATCTGTGTCACACATATTACAGTATATAGCCATCAGCAGGCAGCACCAACCACACTGGTCTCTCTCTCTCTCTACTAGCACACAAGACACCCTGTGAACAGTCAAACTCTTGTTAATGAGACTGCTAAGTTAGATTTAAAAAAAAACAATATTCCAGTTAATTCACTTAAATCTAATTGATTTGACACAATGTGGTGGACTCGCATGGCTGAAAGGAGGCAAGAGATGCTCTCTAAAACAAAACGCATAACTTTCTTTCAGTCTCTCTCAAGAATTATTCCCTAATAAGTTCAATAAGCAATATCTGTGTTGCAGGGGGTTGTTTGTTTTAAATCTCCAACGCTTTCGTCCTCCCTGCATCCACGGATGCTACAGCTTTGGTGCTGGTGTGTTTCTTTTAACAATATAAATAAATAAATAAATAAATAAAGAAAGAAAGAAAGGAGAACGAGTCTCATGGCACCTGACTCAGGATAATCCTTCATGTATCAGATGAAGTTGAAGGTAGTTCACACAGAAGCATGTAACATAATAAATTAGTTGGTTTTTATGGTGTCACAAGACACTCTTGATCTTTTTACTGCAACAGCTACCCCTCTGGAAAAAGAAAAGAAAAGAAAGGTCACAGACCCTTCTACCGTTCATCCTAAAATGAAAAAGAAAAAAATGCAGAAAAATCTGCCCTCTCCATAATAGTCCAAGCATGTTTTAAACAGAGCTCAGTGAGTCTTTCCAAGTAAGAATGAACAGGACTGAAGCTTCCACCGATTGTATCCAATGAAACCAAACCAAACTGACATTTTCTTTTCTTTTCTCCCCCCATGGAAGGGATGCAAGTACACCATTTTTAAGTCAACATAGTAATATCTCCCCCCCCCCACCAAAGTGGAAAAGATTAAAAGCTGTATATTTAAAATTAAAAATAAAAACGAGAGCAAATGGGGATTATTAGTAAAGCCTTTCAAAGCAGTTTTCAGCCTTCATTGTATTCTTCATAAATAAGAAATTGATTTTTTTAAAAACACAGCTGCTCAAGTTATATTTTACCAACCCATTACGTAGTCAAACCACAAAACCACTTGAAATCTAAGAACAAACCCTGATCTTGACAATAGTGGCAAAAAAACCACTAGTATATTAAGCACAGGGGCAGGATCTGTAAATAAAAGTACCGAAATTGTTCTCCAAAAGAAGGGGGGGGCGGGCGAGAGAAAGCAACACTAAAATATTCAGATTTAACCTTGAGCACAGCAGAAACATCGCTCTGGTTTAAGTCAACCAACAGTTAGCAGAATGCTTGAAAGGTTCACCCAACGAGACCTACGATTGTGACAACCACAAAAACCCATCCATCACTGAAGGGGGAAACCAAGTTCAGCTTTACCGAGCCCAATAACCTACACGCGAAAGCCATGGGGGGCGCACCTCCTCAAGGTGCCCATCATGCCCTTCGTCGTGAGCCCTCGAGCATTTTGCCCTCGTTCCCGGCGCCGCCACCCGCATCCGCAGTGACGAAGAGGCGCACGGAGCCCCAGCCGTCTGGTCTGCCCGTGTGCACGCAGACAAGATGCCCGAGGACTACTAGAGAGGGCTGGAGAGAAACGGCCCGGGGCATCGAGGCAGTTGTTTAACGCCAGATCGACATGGAAATTGGGAGTGAGGGGAGGTCAGGGAGGAGATCTGCATGGAGGGGCTTAATAAGGCAACCAGACGTGACTGCACGAATCAGATGGGAGAGGGAGAGAGGGAGATCTCTCCTCCAGCGAGTGCCAAGAGGGGAAATTGCACAGAGATAAGAGGGGAGGAGGAGGGGATCCGGCGAATCCACAAGCAGATGGAAACCCAGGGAAACGGGTGGGAGAAGGGAGGGCGAGAGACGAGACGGGCGGAAAGAGCAGGCAAGATCGCGAGGGGGATAAGGAGACATGGCAGCCGGAGGCTCGCCAGGCAGGGCGCTTCCAAAGGGCTCGGACGGGCGGCCAGCAAGGCGCAGGCGAGGCACGTCTCGGCGCCGGGCTTACCTGGCAGTCGCTGCCGGTGACCCCCGGCGGGCAGGCGCAGCTATAGGCAGGCTGAGGCGAGAGGAAAAGCAGCGGCAGGCGGTGAGGCACGGCGGGCAGCTTGGCCAGCGCCGAGGAGCAGGTGCCGTTGTTCCGGCAGGGCTGGCTGAGGCAGGGGTCGGCGGGGCTGTCGAGGGGCGCGGCGGCGGCGGTCGGCCCGGCGAGACAGGCGCGGCGCTGGGCCAGGCTGAGGAGCAGCAGGAGGAGCGGGGCGGCGCGGGGCATGGTGGCGGCTCCCGGGGGCTCCCGGGACGAAGGCGAGAAGAGAGCCCGGCTCTCGGTTCTCCGGCTCCCGGCGAGAAGAAGTCGAGGCGCAGGAGACGCCTCAGCTGCTGCCCGGCTCTGGCAACGCGCGGGCGGAGACTGGAGAGGGAGTGGCCGGCATGGAGAAGCGGCGGCGCCGGCAGCCGAAAGAGGGCGCTCCCGCCGAGCGCCGCGCCGCCAAGAGCGCACTAGCGCTAAGAGGGGCGCAGGGCGGGGACGCGCGCGCGCGCGCCCACGGGCAAGCTGGGTCCTTGGTGGCAGAGTTCACCTTCTGGGCGCCATTAGGCCACTGAGGGGTAATAGGACGACAAGGGCCAGCTGGGCAGGATTCAAATCCTCAGCCTGCTTGTTGGGTGACCTTGGAGCCAGAGTCCACCTCACAGGGTGGTTGTGACGATGGAGTAGGGCGGGAACGAGGAAAACCCATGTAAGCTGTTTTGAGCTCAGTGGAGGGAGAGCAGAATAATGAACAACAACAACAACTCCTCTCCATGAGTACGAGAGTGTGATTTGCAAGGCAGGCTCCATTCCTTCTGGCTGTCCTTGGCTGCTGTGTCTCTTTCGTCGGAAGTGCGAGGAGCTCTGTGGGCCTCGTGGGCTTGAGGTTGGCGCACGAAGGAACCAGCTGGTGCGCCTAGAGAAGAGGCAGGAAAGGGGGCGCCCGGAGGCTTCTTCCTGAGGACATCCGGCGCCTGATTCTGAGTTGCAGCCCATCCTAAATCTGCCGTGAAACACGCAAACACACGCGCGTGGACGTTTCCCTGTCCCTTAACAGCAGCGGGCTTTATGCCTCACGGAATATGGTGTCCCTGTCCCCAGTGAATTTGAAAAGGTGTGACTGGTTCTCATTCTCAATCAGTCAGGGTTTAAGAAAGAAAACGTAGCACACTTCAGTTCTCAGACCGTGGATCGTCCTGTAGCTGAAAAGTCGACACCATACACCTTCGAAAGGAAAGTTGTTGCGGGGTTTGGGGAACCTCAGTGATTTGCAGAAGTACATAATAATCTCCCTCTGGGGGAGTGGAGATGGACCCCCAGATTGCAGAAGATTAGTTATGCTCAGTGAACAGAATGCTGACTGTTGTGGGGGATGAAAGGAGTAATGAAGTTAATTCGAGGCACGATTATTGCTGGTTGAAAACTGGAGTATCTTGAAAAAGAGTGTGGCCGGCTGGAACCCCAACCAGAATGCATTCTGCACGCCATTGTTTTGACCCACTTGTTATCTGTGCAATCGCCAGTTGCCAACACTAAGTCTCCTTGTCACTCTCGAAACAAGTCAAAATAAAACGAAGCTGGACATCAGTTGAGTTGCACCAGTAGGGTAGCCAAACACAGGCAACGCATTGCTTCCTCTCCCCTCCCACCCCAGGAAAACATCCATCTTTGAATAGAGAAGGAATTGGGTAGTGATAGCAGTTTTCTAATGCATCCCACCCTCTTCAGGAACTGGCTTCAGAAGTGGGCGCAATGGCAACTCCATTTCTGGGGCCATATACTTCTGTTGCCTCACAGGTAAGAGGTGGTGGGTTATCCTGCGATTGGTGGGGCAGTGCCCCATTAGCCCTTCTGAGCCAGCAAAAGCACAATTGCACCCATGTATCATTTTGCACTAAACCTGGCACAAGAACAAACCTACATAAGCTAGCATGTACCCAGAACTGCTGCTTTGCTTGTGGAAACAACATCTGCAGTGGTGATGGGGAGGGGAACTTAGGCAGGAGGAGAGTTGGCGACCTCCCCAGCCAGCATTCATTCTGCCACTGTGAAAGGAGGGCTGGCACTGTTTCTCCAGATCAAATATTGGCCTCTGCTCAGCAGGATGGAGAAACTGGCAGTAAGTGGGTGATGGAAATAGATGGCGAGCACTGGAGTAGTTGACATATGGTAGGTGGCATGGAAGAGAGGTCAGCCCTCTGCAAAATGTAATGAGCATTTAAGTATTTATAGGGAGGAGCTGTAGCTCAATGGTAGAGCACCTGCCTGGCAACGCAGAAGGCCCCAGATTTAATCTGTAGCCTAAATAATTAGGTAGCAGGTGCTGGTCAAGACCTCTGCCTGAAATTCTGGTGAACCACTACTGGTTAGACAATACTGAGTGCAGTGATCTAAGGCAGCTTCATATTGCCAGCTCTTATATAAAATAGCAACTTCCCAGTATTGTGTGTGACGGCAACTGAAAGTGTTGCCTGAATTAAGCCAAACTGATTGCTCAGATTGAATTTGTTACTAGACTAATCACAGTCTAGTCTAATCAAGTTGATGTGAAGGGCAATGCATTTTTCCATTACAGTACTTCTCAAAGTCTTCCAGTCCTTGTATCCAGAGTTTTCACTTGGTGCCACACTGACTCCCTCTACTGGCCTTACAGTTCATATTATTATTAGTAATAATAGTAGTAGTAGTATTTATTTTGTTCTTTGCCTGCCCTTCACCAGAAGGTCCCAGGGCAGCTTACAGAGTATAAAAAGCAATGCAATTAAACACTTAAAAAGTACCCTGCCCATAATTCCAAAATAATAATTCCATACAAAATATTACAGGGAGGCAGAAAAATCAAGTTACTCAGTTTTCAACTTTGTATTCACATGCCCATGAACCCCAAGCCTCTTTCTCTGTGCTATTGAGTACCATCACAATTTCTGGCAATGTTATGATGTCAATATGTACAGACACACAGGCTCCCAAAGACACAGTCTCCCTACTGGACATGAAGTCTTAAATGTAGAACGCTGAGGGTGAAATTCTATATGAAGGTAGCCTCAAAATAGAACAATTCAAATAGCAGAGGTTTTGTTTTGTTTTACTACTACTATTTAGGTACAACTTCTGATTTCCAAAAGGGCTTCCCGTTTCTCTTAACAGCATTCACCATCAGAACAGTGTTGCTTTCTTTTTTCATCTAGAGAAGGAAAGCAGAGGGAGAGGGAGAGAGGCTTGCCAAAACCACATTATCACTCCATGGCAAAAGTGAAATCTGAATCCAGGTCCAGACTTCCCCAATCCAGGTCCTCTGTCCACTAAACCACGTTTGATGGGAAGGAGAATTGTTCTCTCCTGTCTTCCCAGGCTCTCAAAGACACATTTGTTTATGCCAAGCGGAACCCCAAGCAACCACAAACACCCAATTGTGCTTTCACACACATACTTCTAATAAATATTTTAATTTGTGGGTACGAATAAATATGAGCAATAGAAGATATATTGGGATATACTGGTAGATCTCTGAGTGATTTGCAGTAGAATTTGCCTCCCAACCCTTTGACAACAGTAGCTACAAAAAAAGGGATGAATTCCTTCCCCTTCTAAATTTGTCTGTTTATTCATTCATTGATTAAATGTACCGGTATATGTCACCCTTCTTCCCAAAGGAGCCCAGGGCTGCATGAAATTAATAAAATTTAGGAGGAAAATCAGGACTGGATTTGTGTGCGACAGGACTATGAATTCATTTCTGATGCTGAAAACAAATTCCTGGGCTGTGCATATGCTCAGAGGCACCCTATTCTTTAACTCTTAGAGCAGGTCCCTGCTCAGATGCTAGCCACTATTTTGCAGCTCACTCTGCTTTTAGATTTCTGGTTCTAGTAACGTAAAAATAAAAATTAAGTCGATCCGTCCAGCCTTCCTCTGCAGCAGTGTCAGGCAGACTTCAGGCTTGCCTGATCTACTTTATTTTTTAGTGGGAGATAAATGAACTCAACAAAACCCTCAGGGGAACAAATCCTCTATTTGTCATGAATTGCTATTGCACAGCCCTCAGCAGGCCAGTGTGATGCATTACAGACTAAGAGTCCACAACTATGCCTTCACAACTATTACAGAGTTACTGGTTTAAAAAGGCATAGTGAGAACAGGACACCAGTCAACTCAAACTTTTCTATATAGAGACTATTGAGTGTCCTTGAAAGCTATATAGCAGCAGTAACCTTGAAACATGGAACCGCATCTCACTGCAAGGAAAGTGTGTATTGAATTCTGCCTGCATTGTTTATCAAGAAGTAAATATGATCTGAACATACCTCCAATCTGTAATATTACAGGTGAGCATACATGTGTCATTTCAAGACGTGAAGGAACACTTCACAGAGAGCCCATGTGATGTAGTGGTTAAAGTGTTGGACGTAGGACCTGGGTTCAAAACACTCCCTGGGCGATCTTGGACTATTGATCCACATAACAAACATCACAGGGTCATTGTGAAGATAAATTGGGGAGAAGAACCCTGTATGACACATGATCTCTTAGTAGAAAAAATGGGATGTAACACAGCTGTAACTTCCAGTCCCAGAAAACAATTTCAGCTGTGTCCCTTCACTTCCTATAATTGTTTCATCTTTCTTTGAAAGGTGGACACTAGAAGTTATCTAGTGAGTATGGATGTAGCTTGAATGCCTCAATTCTCTTAAGCAAAGGGGCTGAACAAAATGTTCTGCATCACTTGAACAGCAACCTTATGCCCACTTACTAGCACATAAGCCCCATTGAACTTAGTGGAACTTAAAGGTAAAGGTACCCCTGACCATTAGGTCCAGTCGTGGACGACTCGGGTTGCGGCGCTCATCCCGCTTTATAGGCCGAGGGAGCCAGCATTTGTCCACAGACAGCTTCCGGGTCATGTGGCCAGCATAATTAAGCTGCTTCTGGCGAACCAGAGCAGTGCACAGAAACACCGTTTACCTTCCCGCTGGAGCGGTACCTACCGGTATTTATCTACTTGCACTTTGACGTGCTTTTGAGCTGCTGGGTTGGCAGGAGCTGGGACCGAGCAACGGGAGCTCACCCCATCACGGGGATTCGAACCACCAACCTTCTGATCAGCCAGCCCTAGGCTCTGTGGTTTAGACCACAGTGCCACCCGCGTCCCATTTTAGTGGAACTTACTTCTGAGTAAACATGAATATAACTGCAATGCATGAAGTCATCATTCCAGGAGGAAATTTTGCACCTGATAATCAAGGCTGTTTCACAAAGAACACACACACACACACACACACACACACACACCATGAATTAACACCTACACTGGCTAGAACGTACAGTCGGTTTACATCTATCTGCTCTTTTCTGTCCCGCATTAATAGCATTCACAAACAGTTCATTTCAGG